AGGTTAATAAATTTATTGTTTAGTAATTTCTCAAAATATAATGTTATTTAAATTTATTGGAAGAAAATAATATTGTATGTAAATCTACGAAATTTATAACGAAATTTCCTTAAATTTTTTTGCATAATATGTTTTCACTTCTGTTTCTCTTAATAGATTAATTATTTTAAAATATTATTTTATAATGCTTCACTTTTTATTAACTTACCTATCCATAATTGTATTTATATATGCTTATTCTTTATAGTTATTATATATTATTATGCATAAAACACCTTTAACTTTAATATCACTTTTTTCATTATTATTAAATATAACTAAAATACTAGTAAGTGTAATGTTATATGACACTAGCTTAATTTCATTTACTAATTTTACTAAAGTATAATTATTTATGTAAAGAGAAGAGAAAAGTTAAATATATATATATATATATATATTTTTTTTTCCCATTTATTAATATTTATTCATCATATAATATATCACTTTAGAATTATTATTATATAATGTTATGCTATATTATATAAGAATTATATTACTAATAATAATATTCCTACTTGAAATATGAATTAAATAAACTGCATTAAATTGATTTTTTTTTTTTTTTTTTTTTTTTTTTGTATATTAATCCTTTTTCCATTATCAAGGTAATTCTATTTTTGTGCGCTAATTTTTCTGTGCTTATAATTTTTCCCAAAATTTTTAATTTAAAATATTACTTTATTATATGAGATTTTTCTATTTGATAATATATACTTCTTTGCTATTAATGATTTAACTTATATCAAAAAAAGTTTTTGTCCTATATTGCTCTAACGATAGTATATATTCTGCAAAATCATAAAAAATATAAATAAATCAACCCTTTTAAAATTAAAAATTGAATTCATTATTATTCAAATGTATGCATACCCCTTCATCATTTTAAATATATCATCACTCCAAAAACTAAAAAATAAAATAAATTTCTTCAAAAGCATAAAAGTTTATTTTAAAAAATGCATTAGAAACATTAATCATTCCTTTTAAAATACATAAGTTATATTTAGTAAACATTCCTCTTTAAAAAAAAAAAAAAAATTCTCTTTTAAAATAATTGCGGAAAAAAAGGAAAACAAGGAAAAAAAAATTATCGAAAAATACAAGAAACTTTTTGTACTATAAATATATGCTCTCTTTCATGTAGTAAATGTATTTAATTTTTTTGCTTTAATGGTAAATAATTTGCATGCATTTATTTATTAAAATATATATTCTTTTTTTGAATTATTCAGATACATATTTATATAAACAAATGTTATTTAGTTTCTAAGTAGATTAATTATGCTAAAACTTAAAAAATATATTATTTACTGAATTTTTATAAATTTCTTTGTAACATCTAATATTTATAAATATTTTATTATATTTTTTACTTTCTTAAAAATTATATTAATTGTCTTTAAAATTTCTATAAAATTATAAGCTACTAAGTATCTCTCCTTTATTCATGTTAGTAAAAAATTGCAAATGTATTCCCGATGGTAAAGCTATCATGTATGATATTTTAAGAATATTTTTATTATTTATATATGAAGAAAAATGTATCTTTTCTCTGTTATCGCATAATGCAAAAAAACTCTAAGGAACATTTTCTCTATAGCATATATTTTTTGCTTTATGCACTTATATTCTATAATAATTATTTTTTCAACTCAATAAAAATTAAGGCACTTTTTATATTATAAAAATCAATATATATTTTTTTTTTTTTTTTTATCATTTTCCGTAATTATTTTCTTTTCACTATTAAAAAATTAGAACAGTCTTTTTTTTTTAAGTTTTTTTTTTTTTTTTACATATCTTGTATTCCATCAAAAAACTGAGATTTTATCATATTGTTAATAATATATATTTATTAAAAGGAGTATATCACTTTTTTTTTTCATTGTTCACTTTTTGATGAATTTAATCAAGTAATTAATAAAACTTGTTTCAAAATGATGTTATTTTAATATGTAAAGATTATATATACCATAATTGTATTGATATAAATGTGTTTTATATAGTAAACTTACTATTTATCAATGAATTGTGTTATAATAAAATAAAATTTACAAAAACCTGAAAAATCATAATATTTTATTAAAAAACACTTAATTTTATATTAACCAACTAGAATAAATATATAATTTATGTTTATTTTATTGTGAATATATTTTATATGTTAATTATTTTAAATGAGATAGGTATTTTTCGTTTTCTTTACTAGAGAAATAAAGAGCATAAAGTATTATAAGAATTTACTTTAGGGATTTTTTTTTTAGTAAATTTATGTTTTAAAGTGTTTTTTTTTTTTTTTTTTCTTTTATCTAATTTATAAAAAATTCTAAATTTCTTTATGATAAAAATTAGGTGAGTTAAAATTTTCTCACTTGGTAATATTCTTGTAACATTTATTTTTAGTTGAATTTTTTAATACTTTTAATAATTAATAGGGATTAATAATAAATCATGGAAACAACCTACTATATGTATTTTTCAAATAGAATAATTCATAAAATAAGAATCAAATTTCATGAAAGTAATTTTTTACATGTAAAAATACATTATATTAGTTTTTAAATTTCTAAAAATTGTATTGTTATGTCTTAAAATTTTTTTATTATACAGTTATTCATAATATTTTTCTTTATAAAATGTAAAATATTCGGTATAAGATATATCAATTGGTGAAAATAATTTTTAGGAAATTCAAATATATTTATAAAACAAAAACTATAGCGTATATATGTACGTATATTTTTTCTCCTTTGTTATTCAAATAAAAACCTTTCATAAATTATTTCAATGGTTATCCGTTAATGTTAAATGATTGTATAATAACTTATATCAAATTTGCTAGTTTTATTACTCTAATATTAACTATAATAATAAACATAAAATTTCACAAGTACATCTTCAATCTATAAGTAAAAATTTGTTCAAAAAAGTATCAAGAAGATATTCATGGTTAATAAAAATGTTATTAACCTGTTTCATTTTCTGAAATTTACATTGAAAAGTTCAGTAATAAGTAAATATATACTTACCTATTTCATTTGTAGGTATTCAATAACTTTATATAAATAATGAATCGAAGTAAGAATAATATATAAAATACTTATTTCTATATTTTTTAAAATGAAGAATTTTTTTTATTGAGAAGATCATTTTATTATTTTTCAAAGAAAGTATTATAAATTTTTTTTTTCTTAGACATTTTAATATGTAATTAATGTATTAAGTAATGAACTATTTCTATACATTTAAAAATTAAAATAATAAATTATAATATTTTTATTTATTAAATATTTAAGTTTTCTTTTTTGAAATATGATAATTCTGCATATAAGAAAATGCGTAAGTGTAATATTTAATAAATAATTAACTTTAACTATTCATTTTAAGAGTTAAAAATGAATAATTTAATATAGCAGTTATATTAGTATGGTAGCTTTGATCTTTTAAATAATACTTCAAAAAGTAGATGATAGTATAATTATAAATCATCTCATTCTATGAATAATATATTAAAGAAAAAACAACTTAATTCTAGAAATTTCAATTATTCAAATAGTACTTTAAAAAAAAGATAAGAAAAAATTATTTATTACAATTATTTCTTTCATGGTATAACCAAGATATTTAAATATAAAAAAGACGAAAGAAAACATTTATGTAATTAAAAACAAATTATATATGTGTAAATTAGAATAATCATAAGCTTTAAAGAATATTAAATTTATTTATTAATTTTTTATAATCATTTATTTGATATCATTTAATAATTTACCTTTTCAAAAAATGAATAAAAAAAAAAATTTTTTTATTTATAAATGATTATAAAAAATATACGTTACTTTTATTATTCATAATAAAAATTAAAATATAATGATTTCTATAAAAAATTTAAGTAAAGATATAATCAGTTATTAAAACTTTAAATAATTAAAAAAGAAATAGTTCCAACAGAAATAATATAATAATATTACTCTTAAAAAAGGAATAAAAAAATCACTGGAGTAATAATTATCTTTAAAAAATTAATATTACTAAAAAATATCTTTAGATTATATATATATATATATGTTAATTTTAACACGTATAACTATCTTCCTTTTTATAGATCTTAACATATGCTACTTCCTTCATTGAAGAAAATGACTTTTACTACATAATATTAGTTTTATTATTATAAATTGTTTTTAATGAATATTCTTATATGTATTATTTTAATTGGTATAAAAAATAATATATTCTCATATTTATATTGTTCTTTTTGTAAAAAAATTTCCTCAATTTTTAAATTGTACAAAATACTTTGATTAATTTTATGCTTTAATGCAAATTTACAATAACAAATGAAAATATATCATTTTTATATATTAATTTTGTGAAATTTTCCTATATATATAAGTAATATTATCTAAAACCAATTTTTACAATGGAAATTATATTATTATATATAGACTCAATTATAAATACAAAAAATTATTTAATTTCAAATTCTCATATTATATGAGATTCATAACAAATATAAAAATATTAATCCTTAACATTTTCTTACATTCATGTATATGTGTGAAAAAAATAAATACTAATATCTATAATTGTAAAAAAAATTTAAATAAATAATGATAATATATACCTTAAATTTATTCTTTCATCTGTAAACTTTACAACATAAAGTTATATGCTGTTTTGTATAAATAAAATGTTTCACAATATTTATTCCCTATATTATTGTTATTTTATTAAATTAATTATTAAAAAATTTATGTATACTTAATAGATTGTAATAGTAAAATGATCCAATTATATTGTTATAAAAGTATATAGTCTTCATTATTTCATACATTTAATTTTCAAAATTTTCTTTTTATAATAGCAAATACTTTAAAGAAATGAATTTTATTTTTTTTATAATAAATATATGGTTATTAATTAATTTTATATTGTAAGGTATAGAGTTAAATTCATTAAAATTGGAGGATATCTTTAGAAGAAGTATCGCTTTCCTTTATTTCTTTTATTAACTTGTTATTGTAAATATTCTTAATTACTTCTGAGTGGTTATAATTCTTTACATGACCATATACATACAGGTCACATAGAATTTTCTGAATAGAAAAATAAAAAGGAAAAGTAAAGAAATTGTAATTAGAGAACGGTGGAAATAAAATTTGCATAGAAAAATGATTTATAGGAGATGGATAAGAACAACCTACATATAAGTGTTTTTTTAAAGTTTTTATTTTTTTTTTAACGTTTTTATCTTCTAACTTCTTAAAAAAATTATTTAATGTAGATTTATCAGTATTTCTTAATATATCTTTATATATATCCTCATAATTTTCATTTAATTTTTCTATTATATTTTCTTCATTTACATTTTCTAGATATTTTTTTTTACTATTAATATTGTCTACAACTACGTTTTTTTTCCTTTCCTTAATAATTTTATTTAATTCGAGCAAAATTTCTACTATTTCTTCATTATAATCTTTGTCAACATAAGTTGATTTATTATACATATATTTATAATGGACGTATTTTCCTTTGCTAATAATAAGAAAATAGAGAAATATATCTATTATAAAATAAATATAATTATACAAGTGTAACAAACAATTTATATTTTTTCTTTTTAAGTTTTTGACATCATATGTAATTCCTTTAAATAAAACAATAAGATTAATACATGAATTACTGTAAGGGTTATTCATTATAATATAATCGTAACAATTATAATATACATATAATCTGTTACAATTATTTATTAAACCATTTTTAATATGAATGTATCTATCATCAATTTCTACATTATTTAATAATGGTACAAAATTAGTTTTTACAGATTTTTCATCTATATATTTACATTCCTTCCTCACATTTATAATGTCTGTAAAAATATTATTTTTTATTAATCTTATATCATTATCATTTATATTATGATCACAATAAACACATTTACTTAAGTTGTTTATATTTAAATTAAAACAATTGTTGCAAACTTTTTTGTATAATCTATTTGTATAATATTTTTTTTTTTCACATGAGTAATATATTTGCCTTTTTATAATTTTTATCATTTTAATATAATTAGTGAAAATATTTATGTATATTGTATCTTCTATGAAAATGTTTATTTTCTCATGTTTATTAAAAATTTCTGGAATTTTTTTTTTTTCTGTAGTTTGTATTATTCATTCATATATGTATGTATATAATATTTCAAAAAATATTGAATTTATATTTTTTGCTTCTTTCTTTTTATATATTATTTTTTTCATGTTTTAATTTATTTCTGTAATTTTTCTTTTTTCTTGTGAAACAAAATATTATTTTTTTTAAATAAAACTTTTCATAATATAATATAAAAAACAAATAAACCTTAAGAAACTAAAGAATAATATAAATAAAAATTAAATACTTTAAATGAATACAGAAACATATTTTTCTCCCTACTAATTGGAACTTTTTTCTTAATTTATGCATATATTTTTTATATTTTTAAATATATTAATGTACAAATAAGAAAGTTAAAATTTCTATAGATACTATACACAAAAATATTTTATACACTTTAATTTTTTAAAAAATTTTTAATTATTTAAAAAAAATATTGTTAGATGTATGAATAATAATTAAAATGAAAATTAATATAAATTAAAAATCTTTTAAATATATAATATAATTTCAGTAAAAAAAAATAAATTCTTTATTTTATATAACACTTGTGTTAATAATTATTATATATTTTTTTCAACAATATAAATCTGTTTTTTTATTTACCTCTTATAACATTTACACTAAAACATATGCGTATAATAATGTTTATCAGCTGCAGTTATGCTTATATTAAATTTATTTTTATTATAATCTTTATTAATTTTTTTAAAATAAAGTTGTTTTTTTTTTTTTTTTTTTTAATTATTAAAATTTTTAATTATTTTAAAAATATTGTATATTATTTATGCCTAACAAAAAAAATACATGTATTTTTTTGAATATTTATATACACTTAAATTAATCGATAATAAAATCATTTGAAAACAAATTAAATATTAAACATTAAAAGCCAAAAAAAAAAAAAAAAAAAAAAAAAAAAAAAAAAAAAAAAGCAAACGTAAAAAAAAAAAAAAATAAATAAAAACTTATTAATAATAAAAGAGAAAAAAACTAAAATTTATNNNNTTTTTTTTTTTTTTTTTTTTAATTATTAAAATTTTTAATTATTTTAAAAATATTGTATATTATTTATGCCTAACAAAAAAAATACATGTATTTTTTTGAATATTTATATACACTTAAATTAATCGATAATAAAATCATTTGAAAACAAATTAAATATTAAACATTAAAAGCCAAAAAAAAAAAAAAAAAAAAAAAAAAAAAGCAAACGTAAAAAAAAAAAAAAATAAATAAAAACTTATTAATAATAAAAGAGAAAAAAACTAAAATTTATAATTTTCATATGGGTTCCATTTAATAGGAAAATTTTCAGGTGTTGCATCTTCATTTTCCTTCCATATCTAAAAATAAAATAAAACAATTAAAATGTATAGTAAAATTTTATGATAGAAATATGTAAAAACTGCTTATATATAAAAAATATAAATATTTATATAAACTATATATATATATATATATAAAGAATATATTTGCTCTTTCATAATACTTTAATAGATTTGTCTCCATGAGTTGTTATTAATCTACTCTCACTTTTATCAAATGCCATAGATAATGTAGAATTTTCACATTCAACTGTTCCAGGGACTACTTTATTTGTTAATGTATCATATTTATAACCACTTGACCAATCATAAAAATGCAATTGCCCATTATTACTTCCCAATATTAAAATAGAAGAATCATTAAAGTAAGGATCTTGTTTAATTAAACTACAATTAATAATAGAGTTAAATCCTGTAATATTCCTATCAAATTCAGCATCAGATCCACACCATACTTTTACATTATCTGTTGCACAACTACAAAAACTATATTCAAAAGGATGAATAGACAAAGATCTTATACTTTTTTTATGGTGTGTTAAAGCTATTCTACATTTCCCGTTATTTAAATCCCATAATCTTATCATTTTATCTTGAGACCCAGATATAACCTGAGGCTCAACAGATTGGGAACATAAGGACATAATTGTGCCTGTGTGACCTGACAATACAAAAACAGAACTTTTTGTTCTAATATCCCATACTCTTACAACTGCATCTCTTCCACCACTCATTAGTATATCTAATGAAGGATGTAAAGATAAACAATATACACCTGATAAATGCCCATGATAATCTCTTATTACCTTATTATATTCTAAGTCCCAACATTTTACTCTATTGTCTTCACCGCAACTAAATAAATATGGGTTTTTTTTTGAAATTTTTATATCTCTTATACTATTAATATGACCTGTTAAGGTTAATTTTAATTTGCAAGTAGCTAAATCCCAAATTTTAATTAATCTATCATTCGCTCCAGTTGCAAACCATTCATTACTTATATCAACATCAACGCAATTTACCCATCCCGAATGTCCTAATATTACTCTAAATAATTTATATGGAAAATGCCACTTTGGTTTTTTAATTTTTTTATAAATATCTAATGTTTTTATATTTTTTAACACATTACTACTTAATACACTTTCGTCTGATTTTTTTATAATTGGTTCATTATTTATTAAATTGTCTGCCTCCTTTTTCCTTTGATCCATAATCGATAAATTACTCTTTTCATCATCATTTCTATATAAATCAGGTATTTTCATATTGATATTATAGATATCCTGTGTAATAATATCATTTGTGATTGTGTCATTTATTATGCTATTTATAACTGATTTTTTTTTTTTTTTTTTTTTTTTTTTTTTTTTTTTTTTTAAATTTTTTTTTTTTTTTTTTTTTTTTTTTCTCTTTTTTTTTTTGTAAATCTATGTTATCAATTTTTGATATATATAATTTTTTTATTGAAGAGTATTCATCCAATTCTCTCATATTAATATTCATTTTAATAGAAGTTAATTTTTTTATAACGTTTTCTCTCAAATTAATTTTTCTATCATTTAAATCATTTTCTTTATATCGTTCTTCATAATTTATTGCTTTTTTTTCATCAGATATGGCTAATGTTGATATTTCTTTTAATTCTTTCAGTTCATTGTCATCGTCATTTTCTAATTTTTTTATCCTATCATTTATGTTTGGATCATATAAAAGTATATTATAATTATATGGCGTTAAATCATCATTTCCTAAGAACATATTTTTTGATAAATACAAGCTATTTTTAAAGATATTTGCCATATTTTTATTTTCATTAATTATATTAAGATCCTCATTTTTACAATATTTATTAACCAAAACATTTTTCATCTCTATTTTCTTTACTATTTAGAGTTTTCAGTAACTTTTTTTTCTTTTTTTTTTTTTGAAATTCCAGCCAAATGTATATAAATATATATATATATATATATTATAAACCTTGTGTTTATATTAAATTTGATTTATAAGATAAAATATAACAAATAAAAAAAAAAGTAATTGTATTTAATCATTTCGTTTATTCTTAATTATATAAGTTTTAAAAAAAAAAAAAATTTAGATGGTAGAATTTCTGTTTTTAAAAAAAATATAAAATAGTTAAATTAATTTTATGTAATCATAAAAAGGACAAAAAACTCTTTATAAACATGTATGTTTCTAAAAAAAAAAAAAAAAATTATGGTATAAAAAATTATATTTTTTTTTTTTTTTTTTAATAAATTAAAAAATCCAAAAAAGTAACTCATAGCAATTTTATTAAAAAATTAAAAAATAAAAATATATAAATTTTTAAAATGAGTTTTTTCATATATATATAAATATATATATATATAATATTCATTAACAATACATCTAACAAAAAAAAAAAAAAAAAAATAATGAGTTTAATGGAAAAATTTAAGCTCACATGTAACATTAAAATTTAATAAAAATTATTTTATTAAATATATAAAAAAACAAAAATTAAGTATAAATGTGAAAAAAAAACAGTAGAACTGATAATTTAATAGAGTGTTATAATTTAGAGAATATTATCAAATATAATTCTTAAATTATATTAAATTAATACTTGCGTATTAATTTTCCCATAGTTGAAAAAAGAAAAAAGTAGGTGCTTATAATTTAAAATTTTTAATTATCCTTATTACAAAAAAAAAAAAAAAAAATATGATTCAATAATTCAATAAATGCGATATGAAAAATATTTAAGGAGTTATACAAAAAGGAGAATCTTTAATAAATAAATATTTTAATGAATATAAAGTTTTTGTAACACATATATTATAGATTGTTGAAATATTAATAAATGAATTCACAAGCAAGTGCAAATTTATATCATATTTTATTATATTAACTTGTATTTTGTTTATTTGTATTTGTAAACATAATGAAGGTTTAAATATAAATGCATAAACATTACAAAATTTCAATTCTTTATCGTTTATTATATTCCCATTAATAATATATATTATATAATATTCTTAAGAAACAGTTTCATGAAAAGACAATAATTTAAAGAGAAAAAAAGGGATAAATAATATTAAGATTTAAAAAAAAAGTTATTTATAATATAGTTGAAATTATTTATAAATTATTTAATTATTTGTTAAAAACTAGCTTCCCTATAAAATATTTTATAATATTTTACATCTTATTCTGTATAAATTCAGGTAACAATATGGAATAAAATGCATTTTTTGCACACATTACAATAATATAAAAATCAAGTAAATTATATAGGATTAAATGAAAGCATTTATCGGCTTTATTGTAAATATTCTCTGATCTATCTTTTGTGAAATGCTTCTTATTTTGCAAATAATAAATTTGCATATAGTTAATTTTTGTATATATTAGCAAAAAACATTTAAAAATTTATAATTCCATATAAAATTATATGTATACATATAAAAAGAGAGAAGAAAAGAGTTTTTGTATATAAACACGTTTTTTATTTAGTATTTTGTTTATTGAATATGAATTAAAAATAAAAATTATTGCATAATATTATTAATTTTATTTTGTAAGTTAACTAGATATAAAAAAAAATTATGTGCAAAATTAAAATACATATTTTATGAGCTTTTTATTAAGTATTATGTCCTCTTAATAATTTTTTTTTTTCTTCAAATTCTCAAAACAAAATTTGATTTTTTTTTTTTTTTTTTTTTTTTTTTTTTTTTTTTTTTTTTTTTTTTTAAAAAA